CATACCATAACTATTAGTTATGGAAAATGGATGCTAAAACTACATTCCTTAACAAGAACTTACAAGAGGAAGTGTACATGACACAACCCAAATGTTTTGAATCTAAAGAAGCCAGCAATGTGTGCAAACTAGATCAATCCATATATGGATTGAAACAAGTCACTTGGAGCTGAAATCATCAATTTGATGTGAAAGTCAAAATATATGATTTTATAAAAAATGAGGCGAATTGTGTGTTTACAAGAAGATAATGGGAGTATTGTCGTATTCCTAATATTATATATATATAATATTATAGGAAATGATGTTCCTGTATTTTAATTGTTGAAATTATGGTTGTTAAATATTTTTTCGTGATAAATATGAGAGAAACAACTTGATCTATAGAGATAGATCTAGAAGATTGCTTAACTCATCCCAATCTATATAGATAAAATCTTGAAAATATTTTATATGTTGAAAATGAACTAAGAGTTCATGGATACATTGATACTAACTTCTAGTCAAACTAGAATTATAACATATCTCAATCAGGACATTGGTTTACTCTTAAGAGATGTGTTGGAAATGTTCCAAACATGAGATAACCGTTGATTCAATAACAGAAGCTTTATACATCATTGCTTTGAAAAGCAACAAAAGTTGTGGTCTGGATCAGGAAGTTCATTAATGAACTTGGAGTAGTTTCTAATATTGTTGATCGCATGCTTCTGCATTGTGATATGGAGTCATCGTGCAAGCAAAGGAACTAAGGTTTCATCGATGATCAAAACATGTGTTAAAACGGTATTATCTCATTGGAAAAATAATACTTGGAAAGGTTCCAAATCGGAAATAGTCGTTGATTCAATAATTGAAACCTTATACATCATTGCTTTAGAAAGCAACAAAAGTTGTGGTCTGGATCAGGGAGTTCATTAATGAACTTGGAGTAATTCCTAACATTGTTGATCACATGCTTTTGCATTGTGATAATAATGGAGCAATCGTGTAAACGAAGGAGTTAAGGTCTCATCAATGATCCAAACATGTGTTAAGGCGGTATTATCTCATTGGAAAAATAATACAATAAAATGATGTAAAGAATGAATGAATTCCCACAAGTTATTAAATTGCAGATCCACTGACAAAGAGTTGTTACAATATGAACATGATAGTCATATAGACTCTTAAAATATTAGATACATAAGTGATTGGATCTAGCGCAAGTGGGAGTTTGTAAGTGTTATACCTTAAATCCAATCAACTTTGGACACAAACACTTTTAATAAATATAATTGATGCATATTTATAACAAGATCTATTATTTAATTGAATTAAAATTTTAATAAATTAAATAATAGAATCCGTTCAACCAACTTTTGATAGAAACACTTTTAATATATATAATTGATGCACATTTATGACAAGTTCTATTATTTCATTAAATTAATGTTTGAATAAATTAAATAATAGAATCCGTATATTCAAATCTTGGTAATTTACTAATCACAAAGAGTTGTGATTGTGAGATATAAATTGCATATAACTGAATCTTAAATCATTCGTGGTCGTATGTAATAACGAGATACAAATATCATTATTAAGGATAGACCATCACGTGTAACATTTTTTATTTGTGAAAAAAGTAGTTGATCTCACAAGGTAAAATGTAGTGACATTTGAATAGGCACGTGAGTGTCTTGTTGTAGAACAAAATATTGAAAACCTACTAGGGAGATTCTACATTGATAACTATCTGAGTATCGTGGTTAATCCCTAACGTTCGATAGTGGAATTGGTCCTTTGACTTGAGGTCATTATAGTGCCTTATTTGAAGACATTCATACTTTGATGATGTTGGATGTTGCTATGCGAAGGTCACTAAGATAATATCGTTCGAGTATGTCAAGAATCATATAAATGTTGTGAATGATTAATGGAGGATTCGTATCTCTTAGATATTAAGAGATTATGATCTACATTTCATTCAATTAACTTGATAATGAAATACTTAGCCAATATGTACTCTTAAGTCGAAATTTATCTCATTGGAAAAATAATACAATAAAATGATGTAAAGAATGAATAAATTCCCACAAGTTATTAAATTGCAGATCCACTGACAAAGAGTTGTTACAACATGAACATGATAGTCATATAGACTCTTAAAATATTAGATACATAAGTGATTGGATCTAGAGCAAGTGGGAGTTTGTAAGTGTTATACCTTAAATCCAATCAACTTTGGATACAAACACTTTTAATAAATATAATTGATGCATATTTATAACAAGATCTATTATTTAATTGAATTAAAATTTTAATAAATTAAATAATAGAATCCGTTCAACTAACTTTTGATAGAAACACTTTTAATATATATAATTGATGCACATTTATGACAAGTTCTATTATTTCATTAAATTAATGTTTGAATAAATTAAATAATAGAATCCATATATTCAAATCTTGGTAATTTACTAATCACAAAGAGTTGTGATTGTGAGATATAAATTGCATATAACTGAATCTTAAATCATTCGTGGTAGTATGTAATAACGAGATACAAATATCATTATTAAGGATAGACCATCACGTGTAACATTTTTTATTTGTGAAAAAAGTAGTTGATCTCACAAGGTAAAATGTAGTGACACTTGAATAGGCACGTGAGTGTCTTGTTGTAGAACAAAATATTGAAAACCTACTAGGGAGATTCTACATTGATAACTATCCGAGTATCGTGGTTAATCCCTAACGTTCGATAGTGGAATTGGTCCTTTGACTTGAGATCATTATAGTGCCTTATTTGAGGACATTCATACTTTGATGATGTTGGATGTTGCTATGCCAAGGTCACTAAGATAATATCGTTTGAGTATGTCAAGAATCATATAAAGGTTGTGAATGATTAATGGAGGATTCGTATCTCTTAGATATTAAGAGATTATGATCTACATTTCATTCAATTAACTTGATAATGAAATACTTGGCCAATATGTACTCTTAAGTCGAAAAAGAATTATCGACTTACATTGACTTAATAGTGGGATGAAAGATATGATTGATAATTGAGATTGACATATAAACATACCTCGTAATTGATCGGATTATATTGATGAAATGATTATAGTTTCACTGTAAACGAACAAATTTGGTTTTGTCATACCATGTGACATTTCTCATCACATGTATTGTCGTGACACATTGCTAGATATCAATTTGGGACGGCGGATGTGAATAAATGATAAGTTAAAAATGGGCATTTTAATTTATCCATTTTGATTAGATCAAAATAATAATTTACGTCGTTAGGTATTGTGATCGGGAACATAATGAGTCACACACAAAACGAAAACCAGAAGAATGAGATTCATCAATTAATTAATTAACAAGTGTTGGAGAATTAATTAATTAGGTTGCTTGTTAGTATGCTAGAATTAATTAATCGGATTAATTAAATCATGGACCAAATTTAATTAATTGGATTAATTAAATATTTGATCGGGTTGAGTTTAAGAGACGGGCTGAGCCCACTTGGATTTTTATTAATAGGTTATTAGAGTTTGAAAATATATAAAACATTATTATTATTCTTGTTAGCACAAGAAAAGAGAAGTAAACCATAGTTCTCATTCTTGTTCTCTGTATGGAATTTCATTGGAGATTGAACAATTGGACAGCTGTAGATTGTAGTTCGTGATTGTTCGTGTTCGAGAATCAGCAAAAAAGTTTGCAAAATTCATCAAATATATTATTCTAAACACGATTTTTATCTAAATACAAAGCAGATCCCTGGTGAGAATTGAAAAATAATTTATTTTCCGCTGTACATGTTAAGTAAATTTTCAATAGGATTTACAGGAAATATTAGGCCATAGCCTTATTAATTTGCATACTGGAATAATGGTTGAGAAACATATTTGAGTCTTGCACGCTCTACCTTCTTGTAACGAGAAGAAAAAAGGACGAGAACATGATTTTAACTAATTACCTTGGGAAGAAATTTTGAACTTTGCATGAAAATCTTACCGAAGCGAGGCAGAATAGTGATTATTTTGTAGATTGGAATTAATAGACAATAATAGAGAAGAACGCAAGAGAATAACACCAAGAAAAAATGAGAAAATCTTCATTATTCAGCAACTGGACGAAAATAACCCACAAATCGGGTTAAATAGTTAAAAAATAATAATTATATAAATTTTACCAAAAATAGTAAAATCCTATTATTCATACCAAAAGAACATACGTACTGCCGCAAATAAGATCCCAAAAATCTGGCTTAATNGAAATACGTAATGACAGAAATAAAATCCCAAAAATCTGGCTTAATTTGAGATTATATTTTATGTCAAAAAGGAAATTGAAATATTACTAAAAATGACAAAAATAACTTATATTGATGATTTGAAAGGGAAAACAGCTGAATTTGGTCTTGAAACCGATGCACACCACGACGTGCGCGCAGAAAAGAGCTTTCCAAATTGGGGTTATGGACGTGATTCTGATAAACGTAGCCAAAGTTATGGCCAAAATATTAGGAAAAGTCAATGATTATTTGCCAATTTTGCGTTGATCCGCCAACTCATTTTATCCCGGCGCCATTAACGTACTATCAGACAGCTCGACCTCGTCTGACTCGGATCCTCCTGCATCAGTAACCTTCAAGGAATGGATACAAAATTTTGTTAGTAGTCTTCTTTTCAAGTCATAAGACTTTTGATTTAGTGTCCGTTTAACATGACTTTTAAAAAGACAAAATGAGTTTTGAGACTTAAAAATTTCTTTTGAACTCGTTTGATTAATTTTATGAGAATGCTTCTGATAATTAGAATTTAGAGGAACCAGTTAATTTTATGAGAATGCTTCTGATAATTAGAATTTAGAGGAACCAGTTCGACGTAGCTTTCTTTAAAAGTACTATAGAAAGTGCTTTCAAAAATTAATTTTCAAATAAAAACTAATGCAACTTGTTTTTTTACAAAAAATAAAAGTAAAAATAAGAGTCATGCACATCATATTGTGATACTGTTGGGAATTCCCCTGCCAGTAATTCCTCCTTTTTTAGTGTAGTCCGAGGCGTCGGGATACAACAAGGTGTAAGGAATTTTCGCTGGCCCGTCTCGATTCCTCATGCCCTGGTCTTTATTCCTCTCTGTTATTTCGTTTTCTATTTTTACCAGTTTGGTGCTAAATCTGGCAAATGCCTCTTTTTCTTCATCGGAAGGCCACTCGCTAGGGTCTCTTTGTCCAAGGTAAATCTCTTCTGTTGAATGCTTAGAGAGTATCTCTATTAGCGACACACCAAGGAGGGTTTGGAACTTGGCAGTAATTGTTTTCAAGAAGAATAAATTAGGGTTTTCTTCTAGCTTAGCATGCTCATCAGTGTCAGGCATGAATCGGCGGCTTACAGTGGGCCGATTTGGAAGGAAACCGGCATAAGGATATTGTCCGAAATTGACGGCTGCATGAAGAGCAGAAGCTACCCATATGATTATTGTGCATGACTGAATAAGTTCATCCATTGTCTGCATTTTAGGCCACCAGGGCTTGTCTTTTAAGTCTCCATGGCCTTCTTCACGAAGCTCCTTCCACCATGATTGAAGTTCTGAATCACATTGGATCATGTCATCTGTCTCATAGTAGATAGAACAATAGTCGGTGACCCATTCTTTAATTGCTGACCAAATCTCAAGTCCATCAACAGCAAAAGGATAATCCTCTATGAGAAGTCTAAGACCATGACGATGGTTCAGGTCTTTAACTGCCACTCCTCTGAATAAGCAAAGTAAAAGAAGGTTAGCGAGATTGTGAGAACAATTGACTTTCCCATTTTCATCAGTTTCCCTTTTTAGCTTCAGATTCTAGAAAGATTACTTTTTAAACCCTTCCTTTTCTTTGCATTGGATAGATTAATACGGTATGTGGAAAAATTTCTTTAAATGGGTATGTGTCCTATAAATATATTTTCTCTTTTTAATACGAAGACAAATACTTAACAAATTCTGTATCCCTCAGCATATTTCTGTGTTAATTACTCATATATTATAAATTCTAACAGATACAAATCAAAATCATTTAGAATGGTTGCTATAAAACTTTCTGACTGACCTTTTGAGCAGATCCTCAGGAAGGGCCTGCTCAGTAAAGTTCCAGTTCTTGTAGATAAAAGATGACATTTCCAAGGCATATCTTGCTGGAAAGACTGTTCTCTCAAATATTCCGCCTGCATTGATGAGTGTATGCCGAGCTAAGGCATTTATGTTCATTGTATCACGGAAATGTGGTTGCAGTAGCTTGTATATTGGGTGAAGCACACTCAACTGTCTGTTTGTTGCAATCACAAATGGCTCTATTACTGCATGGGTGTTCAGCCTGCATATCGAGATTGCAAGTTACAGTTTGGTTAAGCTTCTAAAATACAATTAGTTCATCTTCTTTCACTTGTAAACTTACCAGTGGCTAATGAGCTGATGATAGCCCGAATCGTTCACTGCAACGTAAGCTTTAGCCAACTGCCATTTTGAGTTTTCAATTCCGTGCTCAGACAGAGTAAATACTTGGCTGATTGGATCATGTATGTTTATGTCTGGTTGTTCTCTGCTCAATTCAATTGCCAGTGGCTTCAACGTCCCATTATCTTGGAGCAAAAGGACAGTTCTACTTGCATACGTCTGTGTGGTCGTCGTGTTAATCTTTCTAAGGTATGGTATCAGCACGTCATGATAATCCAATATGAACAGCTTGTTATCTGCAATTGCCTGTGTTCACACAAAGTAACAGAAGACATTACTTGTAGTAGAATACTTCATGAATTATGATTTCAAGAACTCTGCTTTTTCCTTTTGCTCTTTCTATGTATGAATTAGAAAATGATTAAATAGGGAAAGAATGATATACTTCTTCTACAGTTAGCCCACTCATGTTTTTCTCAATCTGCTCCCTTGTCATTGAACTATTTTGATTACCATATACTTTGGGATCTAGCTTGCTAGCAGGTGGAAATTCCTGTTAGGTAGAAAAGTAGTAAATATATGCTAAATGAGGGGAAAAAAATATAGTTGTTTCAAGGGTAAGAATAGAGGAAGAAAATTTCTTTTACCTCCAGACGTCGAATAATAACGGGGTTCACTCCGGCTATCATTTCTCGGCCAAATTCTTCATCTGTTCTCCATGCTGTTTTATCTTCTGCAATTATTCCATAGAAAGCTCATATTTGTAATGGGGTAAAAATGCATCAAATTTTATTTAAGACTCTCAAAGTATCAAATGAAGTTTTTAGATAGAAATCATATTATACCTGAGATAATATCAGGTTCCGGGAATTTATGAAGTTCCTTGAACGACTCCCATGGAAGGCATTCTCTTGTATTTCTTGTTAGATGACTGTCTTGAAGCTCATCTTTTTTCCTTTTCTTGTATAAGTTATGTATGTCTTCGAACTTGTCGAACTCATTGGAATTCTTTTTAAATACAGCTCTGATCTCTGGGATCAATACCTGACCCACGGATTTAAGAGAAGAACCGATGAATTCTGAGAACTTCACAGGACTGAACCGCTCATCTCGTGGAACATAAATATTCAAATTCAGTAGTGGCAATCGACTTTCGATGTTTGGATCTGTAAACGCAACTCTGAAAAGTTATGATTTCTAAGTATCTATCAACTAAAATTATATCGATAGTTTTTACTTACCTTTTTTATTTTGTCGACGACCTGTTCTTCCTCTACGAGGGTATGGGAGTTCCTTTGAACCACCAAGCACGGGACGTTCATAATCTGATCCTTTTTCTGGATTTCCCAAGTCATTGTAGAATGCATAATCATATACTCTGTCCCATTCCTTCAGCATGCCAGAACCATCTCCACGAAGATTAATGAGTTCGTCTTCCCTATATGACCGCAGTGGCCCCGGTGTATTATATGGAAGGTATGTCTGATGATTCATACAATTATTAAGTCGTCTTGTTCAATCTTAGAATGCACAAATTTCTTGGATGATAGAAAAGAAATTTTTTTTGCGTATTATGACATTTTATTTTCTCATTTAGTCGTTTTTCAGTGGAAGGTAAAAATACCTTGTATGCAAAGAAGACACGATCATATTTATAACGATACGCAGGATAAACCCAAGAATTGCAGACAAATTGGAGCTGACCATGCCCCGGAACATCTTCTAAAGTAACCTTCTTGAGGTAAAACTGGCTATGGTGATGGTTTTTGATAAGGAAAGCACCAGGGACTCCCATAGACTCGTCCCAGTCAAATGTAATGTTGAATGTGGCGTCATCTTTGGCAGACAACGAAGTGAACTTTGATACCCAACTCTCCAAGTATGCTTCTTTTCCAAGTTTCCCTCTTGATCCATTTTCTATAAGATTAACCATCAGTTTGACACCACAAAAGAGTACACCAATAGTTTACTGTTTAACCCCTTTAAATGGTAATGAACAAAGTAATAATTTTTTAATTGAATGTTCTATACGCATTCCCTGCTACTGAGCTACAGAGAAATCAGAATAAGGCTAAGTTATGTAGAATATATTCAAGCTAAGCAAAAGGTTGTAATTTTTTAGTTCTGGATTTCTGGTTTTCTTACTACAATCTTGGTACCGGGAGATTACTTCTTGGAAATTACGTAATGAAAGATTACAAAATAAACCTATCTTTCATCGGAGTTTCTCAGAACTTTGTACATATAAGATGATGTACTCTTATCAATTAGGAGTAATGGAATAAGAATCTATATTCATCCATTTAGGAGCTAAATTCAGTTCTAATAATTACACAGCATCTCTGGTAACTGGCAAGTATGATTGAACCTCTTAGATGCTCTTTAGGTATTCCAGTTTCCATTCAAAAACACACTGTCAAGTAAATTCCCTGTTCAATTATATATAAAAATGTACTGCAGTGCAGTTATCGTTACAAAAGAAGGAAGAAAGGATAAAAGAAGCGAGGTAGCATTTTGTTTAACTATAAAACAATGCTGTTCTAGAGGAGGGAGTGGTAAATAACCTGGATCTGCATGAGTAGCACTGATGAGCTGCAACGAGACACCTTTTCTGAAAATTTCATAAACTCGATCAAGAAACGAAGCACCAACATCAGTCATATCCATAAAATTCTTTTTCCTAAGTACCACAGTGCCTTTAATCTTCCTCTCCTCAATCTTGGGTGAATCTCGAATCTTTCCACACACCGTTCCAAGTAATTTCTCGAGCATTTCTGACGAAGAACATGGTGGAAAAATCCCCATTGGAATAGACCTCTATTAGAATGTTATCAATACCTATCAGAAAACAAAACGGCATAAGATAGCAGGCTCTTATAGCAGTACTTCTCACCTAATTCCAATAGGATTTATAGAGCTGTTATGCTCTTGACTTTGATTAACAATTTGAATTTAATAATAACTAATGCTCTTTACAGGTTCATATGAATCACTTATATAATATGAGTGTGGGGCACGAGGAAATTTCGATCAATGTGTCTTTTTGTTGAAGAGAAAGCTCAAGGAATTTATTCCACCTTGGATGATCACTCATTAAGTATTACATTTGACCATTAGGTAAGTATCATTAAATCTGCTTATTGACACTTCAACCCTATTTCCTCGTCCTGGCTCGAATTAAATATTTGCTCTTATCATGTCTGCATGGGATATTTTATATTTATTATTTCCATTTTCCCTTTTCTTTTGAATTCTATTGCATTTTATACTGGTTGTCACCTCTTTAACTGTGACTTAGTTATTCGCATCTGCCATCCTATTTCCTCCTAAGGACTCCAGCTCATAGTGTTGGAAATTTGGGGTTTATAAGTTGGTATGTGAACTTTGAGTCAATATTTAATTGTGATCTGCAAACCAAATTATTTTTTTAGTAATTTCAGGGTCGAACGGGCCTCTTGATGTTCGTGGTTAGCCATGGCAAAAAAACTCGCCGGTTCGGGCTCGGCCCGGAAAAAGCCCGAGCCGGACAGGCTCGTGACTCGGTTCCACCAAGCCCCATGTTGGAGCATTGGCTTGAGCTTGGGGCGGCCTGTGAGCCAAGTTTTTTTTTTTTTTTTAAAAAGGGTTAAAAAAAACAAAAAGAAAAACTAAGTTATGCAGACAGCTACGTTTAATTCAGCTAGCATACCAGCTTGCCCAATGCAGGTAGCAGTTAGAATATTTTTTTTTAAAAAAAAACCTCGATCCGGCTTGGCTCGGCCCGCTAAGGCTTGAGTTTGAAGCTCGGGTCGAGCTTCATTTTTTTGGCCGAGCTTTTGCTTGGCTCGAGTCAAAAAAAGCTCGGCCATTTTGGCTCTAGCCGAGCTCGAACTTCGAGTTTCAACTCGGCTCGTTGCCATGACTATTTGTGGTATATGTTAGAATTTGGGTGTGACCTGAATTCTTTATTGAAGTAATTGAAGAATTCTAATTGAAGTGCACATCAACAAGAATTCAGTATGGATTGCTATTGGAGTCTTAAATCAAGTTGAAGTTGTATTTTGGAAGTCCATTGGGAGTTGAAAATTTGTATTAGACTTGAATAAGAGTTCGGAATGGAGAAAACAATTTGGAACAAAAAAACAATTTGGGCAGAACGTTTGGTGCAACAGCGTGGCGCCACCTGTACTTGTTTCAGTTTTTCTCGTTTTTCTTTCATTTTTCGTTTTGAATTCGATTTTTTGGTATTCTACTTCATAAACAATTTACTAAGAGGGTTTAGACGTCCCCTACATGTTTCCTATAAATATTAGGCTCTTCTATACAAATTTGTGGTATGAGAAAAATGATTACTAGCTTTTAGGATCAATTGTGTATTTCTACATTATTATTGGTGCAATAAAATCTCTTAATTCCTCTATCATATTTTCTTGTCTTCTTTTATTCTTTTGCTTGTGATCAAATACTTCATTATTGTGCAATATAACTTCAAAATCTCAATTCGGTGATTGATTTCATGTCAAGTGGTATCGAGTGATACGTGATTATTGAATTCCCAACAATTTGTATAAGATATTCTGGGCATAATTAACACAACAGTATATGTGGTAACACAATTTTTCGTTCTTATGTTAGAAGATGAAAATCTTTTTCGACTTATTAAGTTCACACACATCCATCAACATGCCCAGCCTGGCTCGGGCTACTTTCTTAAAGTTTGGCGACGCCCCCTCCTCTTCTAGTTGGAAGTTTTAAATATACTTGATTAGTTAACATCTACTAGCTAGACAATCGGGGAGTCCATACCATTTCCAAAAAATCGAGGATTTGGCATAATATTGGATCCCATACTAAAGTTGAGACAAAATCTGTACTAATCAAGCTTTTGTATTTCTATCGTTTTCTTTATGAGAAATGAAACATATGTGATACAATATTCTAAAACATCTATTGCATAATGACTGTTGAGCTTATCTTCTAAATATTTGATACGTTGAATTGGACAAAATCAACAAAGAGAAACAATGACAAAAAAAATTTAGTTGTCTAGAAAGTTATATAGCCCCTGTTTGGCAAAGCTAAAAATCAGATTTTTAGCAGATTTTGATAAAAATTGAAAGTTGATAAAATTTGTGAGTTTCAATAGAGGCACAGTGTTCTTCACTATGTGTCGACAAGGTCGCGATTTATAGGGTTTCAACTTTTGCTTCTGTTTTATATGGAAGAGCATTGAAGAATCACCTTGAGCATGCTTGCACTAAAAACATTTTAAAATTCTTCCTTTATAAGTTTTTTTAATTAGATAAAACACTTTCAAAAAATTATTCAAACAAATAAAAAATGAGTTTCTTTCTCAGAAAGTCAAAAATCTTTCCAAATCGACCATGACTCATCTCCAAAAATATAATGCCAAGCAACACAACCTATCTTTTGGAATGATTAAATTGTGAAAATTCCTCTACTTTCAGAAGTGTGAAATGGAGAAAGTTGTACAATATATCATATTCACGAATCGCTCGTTAATTACAGTGCTAAAACCAAATTAAGTTCTTATTAGGGGAAAAAAACACCCAGATTTCCTATATTGTCATATTTTTGTAGGATCCCATGATTGAAAGTGATTTTTCCTAGATAAGCTTGTGATCTTGTACTGTAAAATTTACAATCTTAAAAATCAAATCTTGTGCTCGAGAAAATCTAAAGGGGGTGTATTCAATTGTAACTTTTGAATACCCTTAAACTTTTTAAATCCCAAAAAATCATTAAAAATCTCAATTGAATACATCCCGGAGGAGGAATATTCAAAGACCTGTTTGGTAGTTAGACATCATTATATATATCCCAACTTGACAGGGACAGGGAAGATGATGGAAGGAAAAAAAGGGTTTGCGATAATTAATTATGTGCAATTATTTATACCTTGGCAGTTGGATGGGGTCCATGACGAGAAATACTTTAGGACTCATTTATAATATACCCACCTTATAAATCGTTCATTCAAGCTAAGAACCTTGGATGCTGAGTAAATTTATGTACCAACCCTGTAGTATGAATACTTCAACTAAAGTAGCGTATTAGCATCTGATACATGTAGGACATGTGTCAACATCGATACTCTTCGGACACTTTACCATAAACACTTTTTTATTAAAAATATTATATATTTTAACTCGAAGTTATTAGTTAATAATAAATAGGTACTCATATTTAAAAAAATTTAACAAGAAAAATTAATAATCAATATAAAATTAAATTTATACTATATAAAAGAAGAATTTTAAATAATTTAATCAACTTGTTGGTGACATGTCTTGTCGGTACTTTTTGAAAAATCACGTGTCGGACATACGTATCCGTGTTGGTGCATCATAGCTTACCAACTTTTGTTTCTTTTTCTTACTTGTTCGACATTTGAAGGGTCGTAATTTAAATTGTAGATCATTCCACTAAGTTATTTCTCGTCCACGGCAGGATAATGTGTTCGAAAGTTGTGCTTATGCAACATGTGATATCAGTCAACCTAACACGATGCTTTCAATTGTTCATTATATGAGGGTCCGATTTGCCACTTCAAATCACCCATTGGGTCATCTCAAGTCTTGTATTTTCAGTCTCAATTGTGGTAGGAGTTCAAAACTTTTAAAGTTTATACAACTATTTTTAACCATAGTGAAAAGGTAAATTTCACATTAATTATACATTTTATGGAATCTACAACTTTTCAATTACACGTATATTTGGTCAACTTTTTTCAAAATCTACTTCAAATTTGATTTTTAGCTAAATCAAATAGGGATTATTATGCACCAAGTGACAAAAAGCTATAAACCCTAGTTACTTGTAATTAGGCATAAGGTGCAAATTGTGACTTTGAATAAGATAATGTTATTTCAATTGCATGATCAGAATCATTACAATAGTCGTTTGTGTGAATGGTGTCTTCAAATTAACTTCTAGTTCCAAAATGATTGAATTGAGGAAATCTTCTTCATTGTACTCCGAACTTTGTTGTATTAACTATTAAAAAATCATCGATTTTTGCGTAAATAATATATGGAATAATCGAAAATATCCAATAAAAGAGGGGTTGGCATAATGTAATTTAGGGAACAGTAATGTGAACATATACCTTGGAAGCATGAAACAAGTGGACCAAATTGAGAATTGAATATACACATTGTTTTGGTCAGTGTTTGGTTTTGTTTTCAACTCTTATTGGTAGATTTCACATTCCCTAATAAATGTTTTAAAATGATATATAATTTTCTCTTTAAAAAATAGTCACGTGGCCATTTATTGAACTGTCTCTTGGGCTTGAAAAGAAAATGCAAGAAAGGAAGACTTGAGCTGGACTTCTCAAATCCACGTTCAAAAATGTACTCATGATCTTGCTCAGGATTTCTTATTAATATGGAAAAGTCCAAAGCACTGAAATTTTTTGACAGATTTTTTATCGGAGTGTTGTCTATAAACATTTTTATGTCAAACTTATGGCATGATTGATTTAATATTTGTTATACTTGAAACATTATTAATCAAGTTGCTCGTTTTGAAATTCAATTCACGAGTGTTATTCAAATTGCTAGGTTGATCTTGATGGGAAGTAAAGAATATTGCAAATTAAGTGACCGACAACCATGATCACATAAAGTCCTTGTGATTTAGAAAAGATGTTACAATATGTAGTTTCTTGAAACACCTCTAATGCGGATAATGTACATGAAAAAAGGATAACGTTGACAAGAGACACGAGATACATCATAAGATCTCGTGTCATCCAAAAAATAAATAAA